TTATTTATTTTAATTAAATTAATAACGATGGCAACGCTGGTAAGTGAGGCAAGAATTAAAGAAAAGAAGAATAAAAGAAGAATAAAATTATTCTCTTATCTCTCGTGCGTGTATATATATTATATCTTAAAAAAAAACTATACTGAAAGTGATTGAACAATGTTATTAGTAACATTATTATTAATCGTGGTGTTGCTGCTGCTGCTAGAAGTGGTAGAGTTAGATGACGTTGCCATATTTATAGAGGTAGAATTAGCGGAAGTATTGGAATTGTTCGAGTTGTAAGAAGGAGAATTAGTATTTTTTAAATTAGCTTTGGGAAATATTGTTAGTGGCTTTGAATCTTGATTTACTTGTAGTCGATCATCCTGTTCATTATTATCATTATCATCGTCGTCGTCATCTTGATGCTGTGGATTTTGTTGTTGAGAATCGTTAGCTTTTAATTTTTTACCAGCTCGACGATTAGGAGTTTGACCATTTTCGTATCTTTGACGTTTCTTTATTACGTCCGTTTTCATCGATAACGGTCTTCTCTCATGATGTAATTTGAAACTGTAATATATAAATAAAAATATTAGTTAAACAAATAATAATATAAAAAAATAAATACTAAAAGGAGTATAGACACATAAACACATACTATAAACCACAAGCATTACACAATGTTTGACCTTCTTCATCCCGACGCCATAGTGGTGTTGTCATGGTACCACAATTTGAACATCTTGGTTGTGATGCTTCATCATCCCGAGCATCTTTACGTACTATGTGTGGTTTCATAGTTTTTGGACGGGCCATCTTGTGAAGTTTCAGACTATTTTATGTAGATAGATATATATAGGGAGAGGAGATAGATAGAGGTCAATTTTATGTTTCGATTGTTTCATTAAACGAAAAAAGCTAAATCTGTTGGTTGGTTGATTGGTTATTAATATATACGCGATTTTTTTTCTTTTTTGGAAAAAAAAAAAAAAGGATTATATAAGATCTGGTTTAATAAGTCATGATAATCCACAATTAGTTTTATCTGGTTCATACGACAAAACTATAAAACTGTGGGATTTACGTAATAACAAATGTAACATGACTATTGATTGATCTAAATGAGGTTAGAAACAAGAAAAAATTGTTGAGTTATCTTTTTTCATCTTAAACATTTCTATTAAAAGCTAATCATATTGTTTATCAGAATGCAGATTTTGTCCATGGAATCAGAAATTATATGAAAGGAATCATAATTGATCCTGAGATAATTATTCAAAGAACTGGTACCAACAACATCTGTGAATTTTTTTAATGAGGCAAGTTTAAAATACATATATCATGAGAAGAGTATTAATTAATTTTTATGTGTAATATTACATCTATTATTTGGCAATAACCTAAACAGGAATTGATTTACATTTACTACTATACGCACTATACATATCACTATACGTATAGTATTATACGTATAGTACTGATCTGCCCATCTCTAATTCACTTTCTTCCAGAATGGTCTTGTTTGATCTGCCCAAAAGTCCAGCTTCTTCGCTATCAAATAAAACCCAATTAAGAGAACATTAAAATGGGCCGTCAACCTGATGACGACTCGCCATCACTGGAATCTGTCTGCCGCGGACACTTTTTAAATAAGAACTGTCGTCGATATGTTACATGACAAGAAAAATTCACTAGATTTACCTAAAAAGAAAAATTATCAGTCTTTGAAAAGAGTTTCCCGACCGGTTGAACCAACGAAGAGTAAAGATAAGAATGAATAATAATATAGAGACCGCAATAAAATTTAAAAAATAATGACCGACCGTGTAACTGATATCAAGTGCCTAACAAAAAATCGAGTCACTATTTGCTTACTAAATCATTATTTATTTATTATTTATTTATTTATTTATTTATTTATTTATTTATTGGTTGTAACTATTTTTTCTTTAAACTTACAACATTTCTGCGAACAAAACTCCAACGTTGATTACAATTTTCCTAAATGGTGAGCGAGTGAAATTTTAAAATTAACTGCAAATTAAAGATTTGTTTACAAAAAGATCAAACTGGTCATGTGCATATTAATTAAGAGTCACTGTATGGTGTTGAAGTATTAGTATTTTAAGAAGCCAAGACATCAGTCATTTGTACATGTGTATAAATAAAGGTAGACAGGCCAAGAGTGGATTCTGATTCTTGTGCGGTCAGTCGGTGCTTGTGAGTCGAATATAGTGTCTTTTTGGCATCCACAGAACAATTTTTAATGAGTAAAGATACGATTTTATTAAAAAGTCCCGCAACAAAGTTGAGATCAGCAAAGAGGAATATGATGATGAACTTGATGTTTGTAGTACCATCAAAATTATTTGTGGCGCAATACACCCCAATAATAATAGTAAACTTGATGTAAACTAGTTACAAAAACCATAACAACAACTATTGAAAAAATATGTTATTCAATTTTGGTTAAGTTGAACATTAATTTTGGAACAGCAGATCCAAAATGTTGTTTTGTGTAGTCGTCACATCACCTCATATGAAAATTATTCAAAAGAAGGAGCGAAAAGAGAATAATTTAATATTAATTAAAAAAAGTATGAACAAGATAGGAGGAAGGAATATATATTATTTAATTAAATATTTTTGATCATCATTTGTTTTTTTTTATAAATACTAACTTTAATTTTCGTCGACCAATCAAGCCATTGAAATACCGTCGTTACTTCTCATAATAGACTGATGGTTTATGATTTATTTTCTATAAGAAAAATCTGAAAATTGACATTTTTAATTCAGCCATAAAATCCGAATATTTCCGAATATTTTGTTAATTTGAATAATGCAAAAAAAACACGATTTATGTTGTAATACCAAATGGTAGAGCGAATTGCATAAAAATCACACGCATACACAAACAATATCAATTATTAAAACACATTGACAATAGTTTTTTTACATTATGTATTAGTATGTACATATATATTGATATTAAAAATTCAATTGAGTGTAACCTAACCATATCTTTTCTTAAAAAATAAATATAAATACAAACAAAAAGAAAACATTGTAGTAATTTGCTCCAATTTATTATATAATTAATAATCTTAATTTGAATATCAAACTATCATTAGAAAATTAATCGTTTAGTATAATTAATTACGTGTAACTCTGAAATTTGGTGGGGAGGCAAAATAAGTTTGTTTCAACAAAAATTGCAATATACACCAGCTTTTGATAAAGCGCGTTTGGAGTTTGGAGACGAATAATAATAGCGATTCTATCGTAGTTGTTGTTTGTTTTCTTTCAAAGCATCGATTATTTTTGTAAGTTGGAGAAATTTTTGACCCCTGTTTGTCATACCAAGGCAGATAAATACCCAAATTTCACTTTTGGAAAAAAAAAATATATATATATATGTAATCCTCTTCAGTTGACTGTGGAAATATTTATGCCATTATGGAATGAATCCCCCCCTCCTTCTCTAAAAAACTTTACTGGGTATGTTCGCACATCCTTTAAAAACTACTGGTACTAGTGAAACATTATGGCCGAGCGATACTTCCTTTAAAAAGACTAGACTCTTGGGTCATTGTTACAGTTGATTTTCAGCTAATGACTTAAAAATCGTATTTCTCTTTTACCAGATGGCAGACACTTTAAAAGAAGATGCAGCCTTTTCGACTTCTTTTTCTAAAAAAAAACTTCACATGAGAAAGCTCTTTAAAATCAGGCTTTGCCCTAATTCACAAAAAAATATTAAAAATATTATTACAAAGACATACAACAAATGTTTAGCAGTAGTTAATATTATACTCATTGAGACTACTGATCTTAAATGGATTCTTGATACCCCTGCTAGTTATTGACTTTAATGTAAGAGGTTAAGCAGTATTTTTTACTATTATTCTTTTTTTTTTTTTTTAAATCACACCCACCCGCTTTGTTTTCGGTCTTTTGTAAATGTGACCCCATATTTTTATATATAGTAATAGGTTATTTAGCGTAATACACACATTAATTTAAATAAATTATTAATATACTATGTTATATATAATAATACGTACCGTATAAATAAATAAATAATAACAAAAAATTCTTCCCCTTTTTTCCTTTTTTTATATTATTTTTCTAAATATTTATATCGACTAATTATAAATGATATATAATAAAAAAAATATTTTATATATAATTTCTTTTTTTTATAAAAAATAAAAAAAAAAAAAATAGAAAATAACTTCGTTTGTAATTTTCCAAATTTGTTCATCTTTAAAAAAGAAAGGCTCATATAATTTTGTTCCTGACTCCCTTTTCTATTTTCAAAATTGTTCCTTAAAGAGCTCGCAAAAGTTGCATTTACTTTTAATAATTATTATATACAAGAAGGCTTATTTAAAGCAATAAATTTTAAAGTGTCATCTACTAAATACAGCATAGAGTAATATTAACAATTAACGAGTTTACGATTGACTACAGGAAAAACTTATTTATAAATTAATTTATTTAAAGAAATACCACATTAAATAATATGGCACCTACAAAACTTAAAATAAAAGGTAACAAATCCTTTTCACTTTTGGGCTCGCTTGACACTGAAGAAGATTTATCAAAAACGTGGCGTTTAATGACAAAGGTGAAGGAGGCTTTAGAATATGGAATGAGATTAGAAAACTTATCGTGGCGTCTTTGGTTCATGCACCATTTGATGGTTCATGATCAAAAAACTAAAACTAAATTCAGAAGATTATCAACCGTTACTACAAAAAAATTGGAGACTGAAAAAGCTGCTAACCTTAAAGATTTAGCTGTGCCTACTTATCGTGGTGGCAATGGTAACGTTAGCAGTAATATTAATAATAGCACTAATAATATTAACAACAACAACAACAACAACAACAACAACAACAATAATAGTAGTAGTAGTAGTAATAATAATAATAGCAAGAAAAAGAAAAAGAATAAGCAGCAACAACAAACGCAACAACAAACGCAACAACAACAGAAGCAGCAACAGAAAATCAATAATACAACACAAAGTTCTCTGACAATTGGAAATTCAAATGAAATCACCTCAAACACTAATACTGCAGCTTCTTCCGTTTCTACTATATATAATAATAATAATTCTTCCACGGAAATTATTACTCCTACTGAGCCAAATTTTGGTTTTTCCACAAGCTATGTTAATAATCATAATGGTAATATGGAGGTTGATTATCAAGATAATTTAATTGATCAACATAATCTAAGTGATCATAACATTGATTCTCCTGTTGATAATACTGATATGTTTATGGGTGGTAAGTTGTTATTTTAATTAATTAAAAGATTTCTCCAATGTTTCTTACAAATAATAAATTATTAATTGGTAAAAATTTTTTTTAAAAAAAAAAAAATATAGCAATTACAGATAATGACATGAGTCTTATTGATGCAAATAATATGATTTATTACACGCTACACCAATACACCAATGACCAAAGTCGATACCAAGTGATTACATTACCAAACGATTACATTCAACCGTACACAGCAAGTGCACTAATAGATTCAGATAAAGGTCCTACAATGGAAATCGATATTTCGAGTATGTTTGAAACTGGTGGTGCTACTGATCAACTATCCCAAAATTCAAGTCTACAGTATCATCCTCATCATCACCATCCACATCAATTGACTTCACATCATCATCACCATCATCCTCATCATCATCACCATTCACATCATCAACAACATCAACAACATCAACAACTTACCTCAATAAGCAATCAAATTGTCTCAAATGCTGCTTCCTCATCTACAAGCGGCGAAGCAGTCTATGTTAGCAGCAATGATACTCAAACAGCAAATCTTCCTCCACTTAACACAAATATAATAAATTCTGCATTAAGTAGTAATAGTAACAATAACCATCATCTCAATACCCCACTAAATACTCCTGTTAATGGATTGCCTACTAGCAATATTTTAAATGGTGTCAATAATATTTTAAGTGACGGTACAAATTTTATTTTTACAAATCAACAATTTTCCTCAAATCAAACATCATCTTCAACCACTGCCACTAACACTACAACTAATAATAATAACAATAACAATAATACGTCAATACCTATTTCTCCACCAATATCGTCATCATCATCATCATTACTAAAAAATAACTACTCTTCTAAAAAGAACGATTCTTCTTCTTCTCAACATCAACAACGATCTGTTTCTTCTCCTTCAAATATTATATCTTCAACGGAAACTTTGTCGATTTCTTCTTCCACATCTTCTTCCAACAACAACAACAACAATAATAATGGTAATGAATGCAATACAAACAACAATGATAATAGCTCGAACAGTAGTAATTCCAGCAACAGTAGTAATGGTAGCATTATTAATGGTGATACTAATAGTAATGCCAATATTAACGGTAATCGTAATTCATCACAGACACCCGAAAATAGGGTAAAGAAATCAAATTCTGGTAATGGCGAGCAACAATGTCACAACTGTGGTGTAACTTCTACTCCGCTTTGGAGACGTTCTACAAACGACGAATTATTATGTAATGCGTGCGGTTTATAGTAAGTAGTTGATTTTTCTTTCAAGTTTTATTAATATTTCATAGAGTTTTTGTCAAATTTTATTGTTCAAGCTATGTACATAATCTATATAATTATTCATCTTCATCAAAAGAAAATAATAATGACAATATAGTCAGAGAGTTAGTTTATTAATAGTAAGGTCATATTTGTTTTCTCGTAGCAGTAAAAAATTTGGATACAATAACAACACCACAAACAACAACAACAACAACAACAACCAACAGATTTAGCTTTTTTCGTTTAATGAAACAATCGAAACATAAAATTGACCTCTATCTATCTCCTCTCCCTATATATATCTATCTACATAAAATAGTCTGAAACTTCACAAGATGGCCCGTCCAAAAACTATGAAACCACACATAGTACGTAAAGATGCTCGGGATGATGAAGCATCACAACCAAGATGTTCAAATTGTGGTACCATGACAACACCACTATGGCGTCGGGATGAAGAAGGTCAAACATTGTGTAATGCTTGTGGTTTATAGTATGTGTTTATGTGTCTATACTCCTTTTAGTATTTATTTTTTTATATTATTATTTGTTTAACTAATATTTTTATTTATATATTACAGTTTCAAATTACATCATGAGAGAAGACCGTTATCGATGAAAACGGACGTAATAAAGAAACGTCAAAGATACGAAAATGGTCAAACTCCTAATCGTCGAGCTGGTAAAAAATTAAAAGCTAACGATTCTCAACAACAAAATCCACAGCATCAAGATGACGACGACGATGATAATGATAATAATGAACAGGATGATCGACTACAAGTAAATCAAGATTCAAAGCCACTAACAATATTTCCCAAAGCTAATTTAAAAAATACTAATTCTCCTTCTTACAACTCGAACAATTCCAATACTTCCGCTAATTCTACCTCTATAAATATGGCAACGTCATCTAACTCTACCACTTCTAGCAGCAGCAGCAACACCACGATTAATAATAATGTTACTAATAACATTGTTCAATCACTTTCAGTATAGTTTTTTTTTAAGATATAATATATATACACGCACGAGAGATAAGAGAATAATTTTATTCTTCTTTTATTCTTCTTTTCTTTAATTCTTGCCTCACTTACCAGCGTTGCCATCGTTATTAATTTAATTAAAATAAATAATTAATTAGAAAAAATTTAATAGTACTAGATAAAAAGAAAGAGAAGCAAGAAAATTTAATTTTATATTTGTAATTTGTAAAAAATTTTTATTTTTTAATTTTTTAAAATTACCTGTAAAGATTTTTTTATTTCATTTTTTTATTTATGTAATTTTTTTTTTTTTTTATTAAAAAAATTGTCAAAAAATTCCTTTAAAGGAAATTCGTATAACCAAACTTTTTATGTTGGAAAAATAAAATGTCTGCTCCATTCAAAAAGCTAACAGTTAAGAAACTTCCATTACCTGTTGAAAGTAGCACTGAAGACTCTAGATACTGGGGAAAGTTCAAGGTAGGATAAAATAATGATGATAATCATAATTAATTAATACACACATATATATATAATTAAAATATTTCATCATCTACATGTATATCTAAAAAGATATTTTTATTTTTTGATATGATGATGATATCATAACGACAATAATAATAATAATATTATTATCATAAACAAGACTCCTACCAAAATCAACGAGGTATCTTCAGTTGTATCAATACATTTTTCACCAAGTAAACCACACGATTTTGCAGTTACATCCTCAGCCTATGTAAAGATATATTCTGCACAAACATTTAAAGTTAAAAAAATAATATCAAGATTTGAAAATACTGCTTTTTCTGGAAATATAAGGAATGATGGTAAATTGCTTGTGGCCGGCGATGGAAATGGGTTGATTCAGGTTGGAATTGAATATACATATATATGTGTATTGATCTAATCCAAATGCGAGGAAAAAAAAAAAAAGAATTAAAGATTTTTTTTTAAAAAAAAAATAGGTTTTTAATCTTGGAAGTCGAGCAATTTTAAGAACGTTTCGTGGTCATAAACTGTAATTAAACCTTGACTATTTTCTATTACATTCGTTTTTTATTCATTGGGAAAAAAAAAAGGTATTAATTCTTATCCCATTTATACAATAAACAGCCCTGTACATGTTACCAAATTTTTTCCAAATAATAATAAACAAGTTCTTTCATGTTCCGACGATAAAACAGTTCGCGTATGGGATATACCTGAACAAGGATCAATTTCAGTTTTGGAAGGACATAAAGTATGGAACCAATAAATTAATTAAATCAGTTTGGTTGGTTGATTGGTTATTAATATATACGCGATTTTTTTTCTTTTTTGGAAAAAAAAAAAAAAGGATTATATAAGATCTGGTTTAATAAGTCATATCATAACGACAATAATAATAATAATATTATTATCATAAACAAGACTCCTACCAAAATCAACGAGGTATCTTCAGTTGTATCAATACATTTTTCACCAAGTAAACCACACGATTTTGCAGTTACATCCTCAGCCTATGTAAAGATATATTCTGCACAAACATTTAAAGTTAAAAAAATAATATCAAGATTTGAAAATACTGCTTTTTCTGGAAATATAAGGAATGATGGTAAATTGCTTGTGGCCGGCGATGGAAATGGGTTGATTCAGGTTGGAATTGAATATACATATATATGTGTATTGATCTAATCCAAATGCGAGGAAAAAAAAAAAAAGAATTAAAGATTTTTTTTTAAAAAAAAAATAGGTTTTTAATCTTGGAAGTCGAGCAATTTTAAGAACGTTTCGTGGTCATAAACTGTAATTAAACCTTGACTATTTTCTATTACATTCGTTTTTTATTCATTGGGAAAAAAAAAAGGTATTAATTCTTATCCCATTTATACAATAAACAGCCCTGTAGATGTTACCAAATTTTTTCCAAATAATAATAAACAAGTTCTTTCATGTTCCGACGATAAAACAGTTCGCGTATGGGATATACCTGAACAAGGATCAATTTCAGTTTTGGAAGGACATAAAGTATGGAACCAATAAATTAATTAAATCAGTTTGGTTGGTTGATTGGTTATTAATATATACGCGATTTTTTTTCTTTTTTGGAAAAAAAAAAAAAAGGATTATATAAGATCTGGTTTAATAAGTCATGATAATCCACAATTAGTTTTATCTGGTTCATACGACAAAACTATAAAACTGTGGGATTTACGTAATAACAAATGTAACATGACTATTGATCATGGAGCGCCTGTTGAAGAAGTTTTGATGTTTCCAGGTGGTGGTATAGTATTATCAGCAGGTAAACAAACACAAATAAATTGTTATTGTTATTATCATCATCATCATCATCATTATTATGACGGTGATGTTTATTTTTATTTAATTTTGTGTGTAGGTGGTCCAACTTTAAATGTGTGGGACATGTTTGCCGGTGGCAGACTTATTAGATCAGTGTCTAATCATCAAAAAACCATCACTACAATGTGTTTTGATGCCTCCTTTTCTCGTTTGCTTACCGGTTCTTTGGACCATCATGTAAAAATATATGATGTGCAAAATTATGAAGTTGTTCACAGTTTCACATATTCAAAACCTATTCTGTGTATTAGTATGTCTGTAAGTTATTACATTTATATATATAAAAAAACATTTTGTTAAAAAAAAACCCCCCTCTCTCCAATAGGTTTGTTGATTATTTATTTTTTATTATTTAGCCAGACGATACACATTTAGCAACGGGGATGACATCAGGCTTATTGTCTGTAAGGCATCGTAAACCAGATCATGATGAGAATGTTGCTAAAAATAACGAAAATAAAATCCGAGTCGGCTCATATCAATATTTTACCAGAGGTTACTCTTACAATGGATCAAAGGTATTTTAATTGATAATTGATTGTAATCAGTTGATAGCTAATTTAAATATACATACATGCATGTACACATATTAATTGATTAATTATTATTAACAATAACAATAACAATAACAGGAGGATTTCGTAGTTGAATCAGAACGTTATCAAAACCTTGCAATATATGAACAATATTTAAAAAAATTTGAATACACAAAAGCTTTAGATGCTGTTTTTAGAACTGTAAAATAATTTTTGCTTATTTATATAAATTATTATAAAATTTGATTAAAAAAAAAATTCTAATTTTATATATTGAATAGGGTACAAGGGCAATATTAACAATCTCAATGCTTCAAGAACTTATCTATCGTGATGGTTTAAGACAAGCGTTGGTAAATCGAGACGAAACTACATTGGAACCGATTTTAAAATTTATAATGAAATGGATAAACGATCCAAAGTACACAGAACTTTTAATCGATGTTGGAAATCTTATATTTGGTAAGACATACATACATACATGCATGCATACATACATATCTATATGTTGCTATTACTATCATTATTTTTTATATTCAAAATTTAGAAATTTACGGACAAGTAATTTGTCAGTCACCAAAAATTCAAGAGTTATTACAATCTTTAAAAGCAAAAGTCAAGAAAGAATTAGAAGTACAAAAAGAAATATTTAAAGTTATTGGATCATTAGAAATGTTATTTGCCAAAAACTCTATTGTATCTTCCACTACCACTACCGATAATGTTACCTCAGAAATCACCAATACTGCAACGCCAACACCAACAACGTCACAATGATTATAGCTGCAATAATTTAAATAAATAATTTTCCAATGATGATGAATATCAATTCTTTATTTATTTATTTTAATATACAATTTTGATATTTTACTTTTTAAAAAATAAATAAAATATAAAAAATTTATATATTATATGCAAATATCATTGATATATTTCGGTTCTTTCAATCATAGGATTCACAATACTATGATACTTTTCACTACAAGCATTAGGGCTTCTATCTCCAAATATTGTTGAAATTTTCTCCCAATTATTTCCATATAAATTGATTAAATCGATTAACCTGTTTTCATCATAATCTGACCAAATTGTAGTGGTAACTTTATCGTTTTTTTCAACAGCAATTATTTTATCTTTTTGTTTTTTCTTTTTTTCATCATCATCATCATAATTTTCTTTTAAATATGATGCAAACTCTTTTTTATTTGATATTATTCGAGTTCTAATTGATGTTGGTGATTTACCTATAAAATATGATGCTATTTTATCATAATCTGTACCATGTTCTTCAAGTAGACTCTTTAACATATTATCATCTTTTTTTGTCCATTTTTCAGATGTCGATGCAACAATATCATTTGTATTCGTTATTTGAGGCAAAGAATCATGATTTGAATTATAAAATTCTATACATTCTATTTTTGACTTTTTCTCAAAATGTTTTGAAATCAATTTCCAATTTGTCCCAAATTCTTTTAAAAGTCCAACCAATTTGATGATCTCTTCTTCAGACCATTCTTTTTTTTTTAAAGACTTGGAAGTAATGAAATTCGGAAATCTATTTTTATTATTAGTAAAAAAATCTTTTATTTGTTTAACTGATTTGTTGCCCATCTGTTCTGATATTAATTCCCAATTTCTATTATATTTGTAATAATATTTTTGAAATTTTATAACATCCATCACATCCCATTTTTTACTTAATTCTAATTCTGAATATATTTTTAATACAGAATAGTATTTTAAATAGCATCCACTCGGTGTTCTATCTTTCATCACTTTTGAAATGTCTTTCCATGATTTACCCAAATTTCTTAATTCAAACAATTTTATTATTTTATCAATTTTCCACCGTGTTGAATATTTACCACTACCTTTATCTTTTGAAATTTTTTTCTTGAGCTTGTTGCCACCGTCATCATTGTCTTGAAAAAGAGATATGTTTTTAGCTACATATTGCTGAACTTCTGCTGAATTTCTATGTGGAAAAAATGGAATTATTTTATACCAATCAAAACCATATTTGGAAATTAGGTTTTTCAATAGTATTTTGTCTGATTTTGTCCATCGATGAGGTATAGTCGTGTATGGCGAGAAGCATAGTAATGGCGAGAATCCGGGTAATAATAAAGGAATTAATTCCCATCTGCCACATTTTTCTCTGATTATATTAAATGCTTTGATCGCTTCTATCGGCCAACTATGTTTAACCAAAGCTGTGGTGTTTTTGTCAACTCCATCCCAAATGGTATAATATTTTATTTCACATGCGTAAGGGGTTCTTCCAGGAAAATGTTCTGATATTCGTTGCCAATTCTGACCATGCTTTTCAACAAGGTCGCTTAACAATTTTTTTTCTTCATCTGTCCATGTACAAGATGTCACCATTATTTGTGCTAGATGTACTTCGCGCAATGCAGGTAGTTCATATATGTGTTTTGGTATAAATCTTGATATGGCATCCGGCGTTCTTCCCAAAATGTATTTTGACATCACATCATAATCACGTCCATATTTTAATATCAACTCATTTAATAGCGCTATTTCACTATTTGACCACCTACTTGACCTAATGCTTTTTTCTGGGAATTTATATAACGCGGGAAATCTGTTTGGATTTTTTAATACAAAATATTCAATTTGCTTGATTGTTTTATGGGGTAAATGTTTTTGAATTACACTCCATCTACGTCCATGCCTATCTAACAGCTCATTTACAAGCTCAAACTCTTGCTTAGTCCAGCCAGGTATTATTATTCCTTCATCAGGTATTTTACTTCCAAAGTACACAGAACTTTTAATCGATGTTGGAAATCTTATATTTGGTAAGACATACATACATACATGCATGCATACATACATATCTATATGTTGCTATTACTATCATTATTTTTTATATTCAAAATTTAGAAATTTACGGACAAGTAATTTGTCAGTCACCAAAAATTCAAGAGTTATTACAATCTTTAAAAGCAAAAGTCAAGAAAGAATTAGAAGTACAAAAAGAAATATTTAAAGTTATTGGATCATTAGAAATGTTATTTGCCAAAAACTCTATTGTATCTTCCACTACCACTACCGATAATGTTACCTCAGAAATCACCAATACTGCAACGCCAACACCAACAACGTCACAATGATTATAGCTGCAATAATTTAAATAAATAATTTTCCAATGATGATGAATATCAATTCTTTATTTATTTATTTTAATATACAATTTTGATATTTTACTTTTTAAAAAATAAATAAAATATAAAAAATTTATATATTATATGCAAATATCATTGATATATTTCGGTTCTTTCAATCATAGGATTCACAATACTATGATACTTTTCACTACAAGCATTAGGGCTTCTATCTCCAAATATTGTTGAAATTTTCTCCCAATTATTTCCATATAAATTGATTAAATCGATTAACCTGTTTTCATCATAATCTGACCAAATTGTAGTGGTAACTTTATCGTTTTTTTCAACAGCAATTATTTTATCTTTTTGTTTTTTCTTTTTTTCATCATCATCATCATAATTTTCTTTTAAATATGATGCAAACTCTTTTTTATTTGATATTATTCGAGTTCTAATTGATGTTGGTGATTTACCTATAAAATATGATGCTATTTTATCATAATCTGTACCATGTTCTTCAAGTAGACTCTTTAACATATTATCATCTTTTTTTGTCCATTTTTCAGATGTCGATGCAACAATATCATTTGTATTCGTTATTTGAGGCAAAGAATCATGATTTGAATTATAAAATTCTATACATTCTATTTTTGACTTTTTCTCAAAATGTTTTGAAATCAATTTCCAATTTGTCCCAAATTCTTTTAAAAGTCCAACCAATTTGATGATCTCTTCTTCAGACCATTCTTTTTTTTTTAAAGACTTGGAAGTAATGAAATTCGGAAATCTATTTTTATTATTAGTAAAAAAATCTTTTATTTGTTTAACTGATTTGTTGCCCATCTGTTCTGATATTAATTCCCAATTTCTATTATATTTGTAATAATATTTTTGAAATTTTATAACATCCATCACATCCCATTTTTTACTTAATTCTAATTCTGAATATATTTTTAATACAGAATAGTATTTTAAATAGCATCCACTCGGTGTTCTATCTTTCATCACTTTTGAAATGTCTTTCCATGATTTACCCAAATTTCTTAATTCAAACAATTTTATTATTTTATCAATTTTCCACCGTGTTGAATATTTACCACTACCTTTATCTTTTGAAATTTTTTTCTTGAGCTTGTTGCCACCGTCATCATTGTCTTGAAAAAGAGATATGTTTTTAGCTACATATTGCTGAACTTCTGCTGAATTTCTATGTGGAAAAAATGGAATTATTTTATACCAATCAAAACCATATTTGGAAATTAGGTTTTTCAATAGTATTTTGTCTGATTTTGTCCATCGATGAGGTATAGTCGTGTATGGCGAGAAGCATAGTAATGGCGAGAATCCGGGTAATAATAAAGGAATTAATTCCCATCTGCCACATTTTTCTCTGATTATATTAAATGCTTTGATCGCTTCTATCGGCCAACTATGTTTAACCAAAGCTGTGGTGTTTTTGTCAACTCCATCCCAAATGGTATAATATTTTATTTCACATGCGTAAGGGGTTCTTCCAGGAAAATGTTCTGATATTCGTTGCCAATTCTGACCATGCTTTTCAACAAGGTCGCTTAACAATTTTTTTTCTTCATCTGTCCATGTACAAGATGTCACCATTATTTGTGCTAGATGTACTTCGCGCAATGCAGGTAGTTCATATATGTGTTTTGGTATAAATCTTGATATGGCATCCGGCGTTCTTCCCAAAATGTATTTTGACATCACATCATAATCACGTCCATATTTTAATATCAACTCATTTAATAGCGCTATTTCACTATTTGACCACCTACTTGACCTAATGCTTTTTTCTGGGAATTTATATAACGCGGGAAATCTGTTTGGATTTTTTAATACAAAATATTCAATTTGCTTGATTGTTTTATGGGGTAAATGTTTTTGAATTACACTCCATCTACGTCCATGCCTATCTAACAGCTCATTTACAAGCTCAAACTCTTGCTTAGTCCAGCCAGGTATTATTATTCCTTCATCAGGTATTTTACTCAATGCTGTTCTTTGTTCACTTTTAGCAATAATTGGTTCAAATTTGTTGGGTAATAATTCTTGATATTTTTTTAAACATTCCAACGGCGTTTTATTTTTTATAATGCCTGAAATTTTATTCCAATCTTGTCCATGTTTCTCAACAAGTTTTTTTAAAAATATTAAGTCTAGTTTTGAAAAAATTTTCATGATCATCGACTTTTTGAGCAGGGATGAACAGGGATAATCTTAGCATGGTTAAAAATCCTTTTATGTTTCTGTTTTGGTCGATCAAGGTGATACAAACTTTCTATTACAGTGATTGATTTTCATAACATTATAACCTTGTGATGGCATATACATTTTACAAAGTTTATGGCATACTAACAATGTAATTTGTTATTTATTTTTATAGGACCAACATAACTATAAGTTTTTTCTTAAAATAATTAGTAAATTTGAAAAAAAAGATCTACAAATATTGAAATTAAATGTAAGTATAAATTCTATGGCCTTGAATCCTATATCTTCACACATAAAATTCTTATTATTTTCCCATTTTAGAAATAGGATATTGAAAAATGGTCTTGGGTCATTAACCATTTTTCAGCTCAAGTAAAACTCCAAAACATAATTCCACAAGTAAATCTAGAAGAATTACTAGATTATAATAATCCATTGGCTTCATCAATAATCTACACTTCAGAATAATGGTTGAAAGATTCACTTGAAAAATTTGAGCAGGAGAAGTTATCTGATGTATCCAACTGTGCTATCAACAGTCCAGACTAAGGGTTCTGGTCGAAACTGCTTCTATTAGTAGCCGAAATTGCCCAAATACTTTGGGCAAAAATTATTTTTTTATAAGCCCAACCTACTTTTTGTTATTAGTTGAAATTGGGTGAAATTATTTTAAAAGTTGCTTGGCTTTGAGAAAACAGTTTGGACCAGAAACCTTAGTCCAGACTACAGATCTCTTATGAGTAGACAGGACATGAAGAAACTAGTGAATCATTTGTATGTTTTTATATATATATGGTACTTATACAACAGAAACTGATCCTAATTGATAACATATTTATATGCAATTTAGTAAATGTTTAAGGAAAAACCAGGAATATCTAGAAGAGGACTGTGAATTGAATGAAGGAACTTGGGAGGCTCATTGTGTGACAATACCATTCAACATTGCTAGTAGAAACATTACTCAATTAAAATTAATAATGTAAAGTGATAATTGTTTACTTGTATAATTTTTATTTACCAATAATTTTTAACTAAAAGTTTTTTTCCTATTTAAATAATAAATCTGAAAAGGCTAGCAGAAGCTCAAAAAGAAGAAGAAATGAAATTCATAGTGATAATGAGCAAGAAAATAATGTGATGGGAAAAAAGGTAAGTCTTGGTAAATTTTTTTATTAAAAAAAAAATCATAATAATTTGTTATTTTATTGAAATATATTAGTACATTATATTATATATATTTATATATATACAAAATTTAAAAAAGGATTGATTAATTTATTTTTTATGTATTTGCATCTATATGTTACTATATTAAATAAACAAACATATTTGCAGATTTTAGTCAAAAAGGATTTAGATACTGTGAACAAGTAAAATAGTATGGAGATTGTTATTTCTCACTAGTGGTGATCATTGCCATGCGTGAGAAATAACAATCTCCAAATAGTACTGCTTCCTTTCAATGTAATAAAAATTAATAAAAATAACAGGACATTTTGGCCAAATTTACCTCTAATTCTAAATGTTCAAAATCATCCACTAACTGTTTTTAGAAGAGCTAATTTTAGTTACTGTTTAAACTAACAACTCATCACCAAGTGATGAAGAAATGTCAAAATACTTTCCAACATCACCCATTGTAATTAGAAAAAACAATTTTTTTTTAGAATAACATTGAACAACATAGAGGAGATTAAAAACTTAGAAAAAAAAATAGATGAGTTAGAAACTAGCCTTGAAGGAGAGAAAGAAAAGGTTGACTGTCATTTAAAGCTCTGGAAGTAGCCCAAGAATGAAGAGAAAGACAATTAGCTGAATACTTAGAACTATACATGAAGTCAAAATTAAACCCCAAAGTCGAAATGTTTCAACTTGAGGAAACTACATAGTAAAAATCAGTTTCGACCTTATTTTGATCCTATTTCGACCAGATCTGCAAATGGTTGAAATAGTTTCGACTTCATGTATACTTAGAACAGTTAAAGACAGTCAAGAATCAGGAAATACAAGGTATTCTTTTGGCTATACAAGGCAAGGGAAATGAATTGCAATCAATTAAGCAAGAAATCAACCAACAAGCCCAAGAAATTCAACAGTTAAAACAAGAATTATATTTAGCCAATAAATCTTTACCAGCATTACCAAGGAAAAAGAACAAATTACAAAGAATTACAAAAAAGATATGTAAGAAAATTCACTTAAAAGAGAAACCAGAGAAAATAGTTGGAGTAAAACCCAAGGAAGCCAAACTAAGGATACCGGCTGCAACTTTTGATGATGGTTGCTACCACCTTTACGACCATTTTGTTTCCTTTTTTGGATTGCGACATGGAACACTAAGCCAAACCAATTCACACAAATTCTCTTTTGTCAAATCTATTTTTAACTTCTTTAATCTTTAAGAGATAGTATAATATGCTCACCTATACTGATAAATAAACCCAAGTAAATTATTTTTCTTCTGATTTTCTTTTCTTTATAAGTTCTGTGCTAATTTTCTTTTATCAGTTATAATTTTTCTTTCTTCTTGGTAAATTTCATAGGTAATCCTTTCTTTTCTTAGATAAGCTTCAATTGTTTGAGTATCATTTATTTTGAAAACATAAGGTGTGATCTTTTCTCCTTGTTCTTTCTTCAAAACACTTCTAATGGTGCTGTTCCATGGTGGATCTGATGTAAATGAGTTTCATATTAATTATTTTTATATAGGGATAGTTCTATATATCATTTAAGATAGCAAATGGGATATTAACTATGATCGCATTACAAATGACTAAATTTTGATCTCTGAAATTCTTGGTTATACCAATGTTCACTTTGTCTGGTTTTGTTGCAGCATGCCCCATATATTCTAAATTATAAATCAATACTATAGAATCTAAAATAAATTGAATTAACTATGCCAGATTCCAAACAAGTTGAATTAACTATACCAGATGATTTTATGAATAAACTTCATTCATCACATTAGTTTTTTTATTATTATAAGGAAGTGTTATATGGTGAACAAATACCTCTTATTATTATTATCAAAAAATTTTTTTTTAATGATTGTATGCTATCTATTTTAAATTAAAGCAAATCCTCCTTGTAGTTTAACCTGATTGAAGTGACCTATCATCATGCCTCTTAGTATTTATTTATAATTTTATTAATATTTTTATATTCACATTTATATATACTGTTTTAACATTTTTATCATCTATAAACACTACAAATAATAATAATAAAAATTGTGAGATGAAAATCTGTGTCCCACAGTAAATCTCAATATTTTATTTATAATAATATAATGTTAATACAATTTCTTCCAATTTATTTATACTAAATCATAACAACAATTTCCGTGAATTGTATATTCATGCTTTACTCTCAAAACCATCTTTCACTATCATTAAACAATTCCTTATTACTAAACAATATTTTTAGATTTTGTACTATATATCCTGATCACATTTTTTAGTGGGCTCCCTTCTAGCTGTTTTCCTCTTTACTACCAAGTCAGGTACATATCCAAAACTACTAAATAAAATTCATTAAATATCACCTAAGGCTCAGAACAAATCAAATCAAATCGAATTTTAGAGCGATTTGATTTGATTTGATTTGATTTGATTCATGACTCAATTCAAATCAATTCAAATCAAACTGGATTCCTAAATTTTTCTTAATGTCATATTAAATACAGTGAATCTCAATGTAGTGTACCTCAATTTAATTGATAATAATAGATTGAGGTTTAATGATAATAACAATAAAATTCTTCTCAATATAATGGATTTCTTGATATAGTCACAAAGGATAGACAGGAAACATAATAATAAGAAAAATTTTATATGTTTTTATATGGGAAGCAAAAATAACTTTTATTTTAAAATTAACATAATAAAGTACTCAACTACATATTCAACCCTGTTAATCTGAAAAGCCCTGTTAAACCAAATAAACAGTAAAACCACTCTATTAAACCAAATTTGTTGAACCAAAATGCTAATTTTAAACAGAACAACATGGCCCTATAAATTATTTTAATTTCCTATATCTTTTTCTTTTTTGAAAATAATTGAAATTTCAATTTTTAATAATGACATACAGTGTGTTACAAAAAAAATTGGCCAAATTTAGATGTGATCTGAAACACGATAACTTTTTATTCATGTAAACAAA